GCATAATGGCATATGGCATGAAACATTTCACTGCAAAATTCATAGAGTCTTTTTTTAATCAAACATGTCACTCTCAATTTTTTGAAAACTTTTTGTAGAGTAAATTTGGTTTTTTGGTGATGGCAATTATTTAGAGTAAATTACAAAACCTTAAGTATATGAAACCTTAATATGGTGATAACTCAAATTAGCTATTGTTTTTAAGATGGGAAACTTTTGGAATTTTTTGCAATCTTGATCATGCTGGGAGGGATAGTAAATGGGCTGTCTTGGCCTAGTTCGGGGTGGTTCTTCTAGCGAACGAAGCAATTTGCTCGACCCGTGGGGAAAAATAGTTCACTGGTGCCTCCACAATGGGGCGATTCCTATTTGACGCTCATGAGTGGCAGTTTAGGCCGGCTATGGTCGCATCGCTGTTTTGTTTTTATGTTTCTTTTTCTCTGTTTCTCTTTCTATTTATTTTCTCTTATTTCTCTTTTTCCTTTTTTCATATTTTTTTTGTCTATTATATGAAGTTCATTGCGTGTTACAAAATGTAGTCATCGTATGTAAATGAAATGTCCATGGTATACTACAAAAAGTTTACCATGCATTATAAAATTGTTCATCGTATATTTGAATTTCTTCGATGAATATACAAATTTTCACTATGTGTTTTGAAATTTGTTCAGGTTATATTACGCAAATGTTCAATGTGTATGGAAAAATTGTTCAACATATATTACAAAATATTCAATGGGTATTAAAAAATGGTTCAATGTTTATACATATTTATGGAAAATGTTAATCATGTGGCATTTGGTATTGGTTCATGGAGAAACTAGAGAGAAAATGTAGTCACAAACATGGCATGCATATGTCATGAAACATTTTACTGCAAAATTCATAAATTCTTTTTTCTAATCCAATATGCCAGTCACAATTTTTTGAAAACTTTTTGTAGAGTATTTTTTTTGGCGATGGAGATTATTTTGAGTCAAATTACGACACTTTATTTAGGTATCCATAACCTTGATCTAGTGATAATTCAAATTAGCTATTGTTCTGAAGATGGCAAAATTTTCAATTTGTTTGCAAAATGTTGATCGTACTGGGAGGCACAGTAAATGGGCAACAGAGCGGTTCCCCCATAGGGAAGATAGTTCACTAGTGCGTCCTGCATGGGGCGATTCCTATTTCTGGCTTCGCTTAAGAGCGGTCTCCCGACGCCCAAGTTTGGGCCAGCCCATGGTCACTTTGTTGTTTCTTTTTTTTTAGTTTCTGTTTCTGTTTCTATTTATTTTATTTTATTTTTATTTTTTACTTGTCCTTTTTTCTTTTCTTTTTTGTGCATTATATAAAGTAAATTGTGTGTTACCAATTTTTTTGTAGTATAATAAGAAAATGTTCACGTTATACTACAAATAGTTCACCATCCATTATAAAAATGTTCGTCGTATATTTCAAATTGTTCTGGTTTAAATATTATGAAAATGTTCGATGTGTACTCAAAAAATTTGAACATATATTAAATTCTTTTAATGCATATTAAAAAATTGCTCAACGTATATATATTCATATTTTCTGAAAAAAATCACTGTATATTAAACATACTAATATAATGAAAAGGCATTGTGTATTAAGTAAATGTTCAACGGATATTAAAAAAAAATTCAATGTGTGTTTTTAAATAAAATAAAAACCAACCAAAAAATCGGCCCGATATAGTAAACTAGATGATGCCGTATGGGCCACAGAGGCAGAATGGACCGGCCCAGTAGGCGCGTGGCTGTTCGAAGCTCCCTCCGTTTATCTGAAATCACTAATTAAAAAGCACTCTTTGCAAAGGTCGTTTCCACCTCCTCAGGTCGCGACAAGTGGCGCACTGCATGCACGCTACTTGTCGCAATCAGTGTGCCACTTATCGCAACTTGGGTATTTTCGTAAACCTCACATCCAAATCTGGAACCGTTTTCACCATTGTATTCATGATGTCAAGATCTTCAACACTATATCACATATTGATAGGTTTCTATGAACTTTTTTTCACGAAAAAATGAATTAAAAAAACCGAACATGTAGCAGGTTTTTTTCTGAAGAGGCACAACTATGCCTCTCGCGGAAGCAAATCCATGCGTCAACGAGAAGTAAATCTGTGCCTCTCGTGAAAGGAAAAACAAATATTTTTCCCTTTTTCAAGAGGCACGACTATGCTTCTCACCGAAGCAAATCCGTGCCTCCGCGATAAGTAAATATATGCGTCTTATGGAAAAAAAGAAAATACAATTTTTTTCTCTTTTCTAAGAGGTACGACTGTGCCTCTTGCGGAAGCAAATCCGTGCCTACACGAGAAATAAATCTATGCCTCTCACGAAAAAAAAAATGTATTTTTTTTCTTTTTCCGAGAGTCACAGCGGAAGCCAAAAAAAGAAAAAAATAATCTTAAAACAGAAAGGCATACAAAAAGAAAAGAAAAAAAATCCGGAAGGAAAGCCTAGAGCACGTCATGTGCCGAGGGCTGAGAGTGCATCAAGTCCACCCAAAATGATCCTTGCGGAGGCTTCCGAAGAAGTACTCGCTGATTAGTTGGTCTCCCTTTTAACGCACGCGGACAGGAGTCTCCCTCCCGAGGGAACGGACGTACGCCGGTTACTGTGGTCCAATGAAAATGCAAAACTTCCCGACATATATAGAGTTCTCATAATACTGTAGGGGGAGAGGCTATCTCGCGCGCGCGGGGCAACTTGCGATTTCAGACAAGGCATACTTGCCCTTTTGAGCAAGTTTGGGGATACCGTTTGAGGTAAATCCGGGCCCCACCTGGGCCCCACTCATTGAAATCAAGGCGGGTGAGATTAAGTTTCACGGAGAGAGAGTATGGAGGGTCCAACGCTGTAGGCGCACATGTGGGCTGATGGGTAAACGTGGGTGGGCCCATCTGTCCTTGGCTTCCGAAATGAGATCGCTCGTTGCAACGATGGCTCGCGAAGGAGCGCTTCCTTACTGTAGGTGCGAGAGCAAGACAAATAGGATGTAACTTTGTCAGAGATGAGATTTTTATTTTTTATTAGAAAAAGGCCAGTTGTCTAATACCCCTTCCTCCGAAAATACTTGTCATCAAAATGAATAAAAGAGGATGTATCTAAATGTATATTAATTCTAGATACATTCTTTTTTATCCATTTTGATGACAAATATTTTCGAACGGAGGGAGTAGCATCTTCAACAGGCATGCTTCGCCTCGGCGAGATATGATTCTTTTACAAAGTCAAAATAGTCGTCTTGCGCGCGGGAGCGACGAAGAGGTTTTTCAGATGCACAAAAACACAACGTCCAATCCGATGGCCCCACTTGCAGCAGTCAACGCGCACAATCCGGCGCCCTAAATTTGCAGCCCAGGAAATCGCTTTAGCACGTGCACTAAGAGCATCTCCAACAGCCGCGCCAAAAGACGCGCGCGCGGTAAATTGGCTTTATAGCGCGCGCGGGACGTTTACGCGTGCTCCAGCGGTGGCGCGAAACTAGCGTGCGGGGGAAATGATTGCGCGCGCGCGGGAAAAGGCGGCCGCTCGCGCGCTACATTTGGCGCGCCGCGTCCGGCGCGCCTATAAATTACAGCGCCTCCGCCGCTCTCTCCATCGCCCTTTGCCGCTCTCTCCGTCTCTCCATCGCCCCCTGCCGCGCTCTGCCGCCGACACGCCACAACCGCGCCACGATGCCGCCTCGGCGCCGGGGAGGTACGTGGCTACCGCGGCGTCCGCGTGCGTCCGTCCGGCACCTACTCCGTCGAGATTCGGTCGGGCGGCGGCATGCGGCTCCGTCTCGGAACTTTCAACACCGCCCAGGAGGGCGCCCGCGCGTACGACGCTGCGGCGTGGCGCCTCCTGCGGTCCCGCCAGGACATGAACTTCGCCGACGTGACGACGCGGGAGCGTGCACAGGAGTTGGCGCCTTTCCTGCGGCTTCTCACTGACGAGGATCATCGCAAGCATCGGAGGCGGGAGCATCGTCTCAGGCTGGCCGAGATGGACGAGCAAGCCAAGGCGATGTGGAGTCATCGCTTCCTGGAAGACACCAACGAGGAACAGTTCTTCGCCCAGAGGAGGGCGAGGAGGGCGAAGAGGAGAGAGGAGCGAGCCGACTATCGCGAGGACAAGCGAACGCGGAAGGCTGTCGCTAAATACAACCAAGCGCTAGGAGATGCGTCCTCCTGGAACTCCGACGACGAGCGGTTCCTTGACGCCTACGCTCCGACGCCGGAGGAGGACATCACTGAGACAGAGTCCGAGTCGGACGAGTAGTAGTAGGAGAACTATCAACGAAACCAAATATGTAGTAGGAGAACTATCTACGAAACCAAATATGTAGTAGAAAAAACTGAAATATAGCGCGCCTGCTGGAGCGGCGTGGGCGCGCTTTAATTTGCGGCGGCCGCTGGAGCCAGCGCACCGCTGCGCGCAAAAGCTGGCTAACCCGGCGCACCGCTGCGCGCAAAAGCTGGCTAACCCGGCGCTGTATCACGACTTTTAGCGCGCGGCGCGTTACGCGGCTGTTGGAGATGCTCTAACGTTTTTTGTGCGTGCTCTATTTTACAGCATCTGCTTGAGCGCTGTTTCTTATCTTCGGTGTATAAAAATGGTGATTTTTAGCACGACATTTTTGGCACCTGTTGAAGATGCTCTAAGTTACCAAATGCGCCAAACTATTCCAGGCGGCCGGTAGGCAAACGAAAGGACGTGCGGATCAGATGCATGGTCCCGTGTCCTCCTCCCACAACATGATCAGATGCACGGTCCCGTGTCCTCCTCCCACAACAACAATAATTCATCATGAAGCCAACGAAAGAAGCCATGCGGCTGCTGACTGATCCAACAACCTGTGAGCACGAGGATAGGTTTACGCCATGTTATATACCATCACGCCAGGAGCTCATGGAGCACAGAGCTGCATCTTGTGGCCTTGTGGGTGAGAGAGCCAACTGAAGCGCGCAACAGCAAGGCGAAGCAAGCTCGGTAGCTAGGATGGGGTCCCTGCCGCCGGCGGGCGAGAGGCCGCACGCCGTGATGATGCCGTACCCGGCGCAGGGCCACGTCACGCCGATGCTGAAGCTGGCCAAGCTGCTCCACACCAGGGGCTTCCACGTCACCTTCGTCAACAACGAGTTCAACCACCTCCGCCTGCTGGGCGCGCAGCAGGCGCAGGCCGCCGTGGACAGGCTCTGCAGCCTGCCGGGGTTCCGCTTCGCCACCATCGCCGACGGCCTTCCGCCGTCCGACCTCGAGGCCTCGCGGGACACCCCCGCGCTGATCTACTCCACCATGACCACCTGCCGTCCCAGGTTCAAGGAGCTCGTCGTCAAGCTCAACGAGGAGGCCGAGGCCTCCGGCGGCGCCGTGCCGCCTGTTACCTGCGTGGTGGCCGATAGCATCACGAGCTTCGCCATTAGCGTCGCGCGTGAGCTCGGCCTCCGCTGCGCCGTGCTCTGGACCGCCAGCGCATGTGGTTTCATGGGCTACTACCACTACAAGGATCTACTCGACCGTGGACTCGTCCCTCTCAAAGGTATGTATGGATGTCTCTCTCGACATGCACGACAAAAACAAAAGCTCTCCTCAACTACCGAGGTCTGTTCTTGCTTTTGTTGAAGTGGAGTATGTACCAAGTCTAGCATGTCGTTGTGCACTCCTAAAGCTGTTGCATCTGAAGAATTTAAATTAGTTGCAGACATAGTATTATCTATTATAGAACAATTCAATTGATGGCAACATTACATACTGGTATAATTAATTTGTTGTTGGTGCAGAAGAGGCTCAGTTGAGCAATGGATACTTGGACATGATCATCGACTGGATACCGGCGATGCCCAAGGACCTGCGGCTGCGTGACCTCCCGAGCTATTTGCGCACCACGGACCCTGATGACATCATGTTCAACTTCTTCATCCACGAGGTACCCGCCATGTCGCAGGCGTCAGCGGTGGTCATCAACACCTGGGACGAGCTCGACGCGCCCTTGCTTGATGCCATGTCCAAGCTCCTGCCGCCCATCTACACGGCGGGGCCACTCCATTTGACGGCTCGCAACAATGTGCCGGAGGAGAGCCCTATCTCCAGCATTGGGTCCAACCTGTGGAAGGAGCAGGACGCTCCCCTCCGGTGGCTCGACGGCCGGCCGCCGCGCTCCGTGGTGCACGTCAATTTCGGGAGCACCACGGTGATGTCCAAGGAGCATATGCTGGAGTTCGCCTGGGGGCTGGCCAACACTGGCTACGCCTTCCTATGGAACGTGCGGCCTGACCTCGTCAAGGGCGACGTCAAGGCCGCACTTCCGCCGGAGTTCTATGCGGCAACCGAGGGGAGGAGCATGCTGTCGACGTGGTGCCCGCAGCAGGAGGTGCTGGAAAACGAGGCCGTAGGGGTGTTCCTCACACACTCTGGGTGGAACTCATCGCTAGAAGGCATCTGCGGCGGCGTGCCGATGGTGTGCTGGCCCTTCTTCGCGGAGCAGCAGACCAACTGCCGTTTCAAGTGTACGGAGTGGGGCATCGGGATGGAGATTGGGGACGACGTGAGGAGGACCGAGGTGGAGGCCATGATACGGGAGGCCATGGAGGGGGAGCAGGGGCGAGAGATGCGACGACGCGTGCTAGAGCTTCGCCAGAGCGCCGTGGCCTCCGCACGGCGTGACGGAAGATCCATGCGTAATGTTGATAGGCTCATCAAGGAGGTGCTTCTGGCTTGAAACAAGCAAATTAAGCTGGTAAAAATAAATGGTTTGGCGAGTCTGAAGCGTTTATTAAGACGTAACCAACTCCTCTCCATTTGAAAGCTTAAGTCACGTTTTGAGTGATAATTTACATGGATTACCAAGATTTGCTACAAAGACGATTGAAATACTTTGGATCGTGATCATGATCATGTATCGTCGTGCGCCTTGAATCCCATATAGAACTAAGATGCACACGACAGTTTAGAGACGATTTTTGGACGATTCGTGTTGATTTCTAGCATAATGCGATCTAATGGATGCTTTTATCTCCCCACAAAAAAAAGGATGCTTTTATCTATCATGCAGAAATTGTGCACATAGCCGTCGTCTCTCTAGCACTGCGCAAGCCCATATGGTCCAAAGTGTAACCAAAATGATCACGAAATCAGCATACGGTACAGAATCTAGCAGTAAGAAAATACTCCCTCCATCCGAAAATACTTGTCCGAGAAATGAATAAAATAGAAGTATCTATAATTAAAATAAATCTAGATACAACCATTTTTAAACAAATATTTTCGGACGGAGGGAGTATGTCGCTTTTCATATGGCTCTGTAGTTCTGTTCATTGCTTTAACCAAGTCTGGATCTGCTATCTCCGATACATAGTGTGACATATAGTACAATAAGAGCAAGTGCATCCAAGATCCCATCGATCCACATAGTGCACAGTTGGCCGTCGACCCCATGTTGCGTGCGTTGAGATGAGCACAGAGAACGTGCGACTGGCTTTGTTAACAGAGATATGCGGAAAGTGCGGTTGTAATTCTCGATGTAGGGCCTGTGTTTTTTGGAGGCTTCACGCATGTGCCACCCACTTCGCTGTTTCTCCTATAGGTCACTTCCTTCATTTGAGATTCTAAACTAATTATAGATGAACTAGCTTAGAAACCGAAAATTAGGGAACGCAGCTTAGAGCAAGTACAATAAGATGACATAAGCAGGTTATAAGGACTAAAATATTATATCTTTGCTTAGTTGAAGAAGAGAGAAGAGGAGAGAGAAGAGAAGTGAGCTCTTAGTTAGTAGTCCGCTGCAATACGAGACCCAAGACGCTTTATGAGGTTGTAAGGTGGGCCAACTTCTAATAAAGTAGTGTCTTCTCCCCCTAGACTGGCATTTGCATCCCCTGGCGGGTTCCCCTTATCCCCTGGCGGCTACGCTAGGGTTCCCCTTGATCCACCCAACTCCACCTAAAACTCACGCCAGATCCTTGCGTAAAGGCCTCCAGTGTGATCCCCCGTGTCTGCGCTCATCGAGGAGGCGATTGCATGTCGACTGCAGGGAAGGACACGATGTCCTCGGAGGCCGCGGCGGCGACGGCGGCGGCGGCGGAACAGGCATCTGGAAGTTTCAATGACGATAGGGGCCGCGATCACGGTGCAGTACTAGAGGACAGGTTTGTTGGACTTAACCTCCGTGGGGAGGAAGAAGAGGAATTAGACTTGTCTGGAGAGATTGAAGATCCGATTGCTGAGACAAGATGGGTGGCGATCTTTAGGGTTCACAACCGAAAGCCATTCAGCCATGTGGCTCTGTTCAAGGCTATGAGAAACACATGGATCCCTGAACAGGGGGTGATTTTCAAGGCTAAGAAGGATAATCTCTTCCTGGCTCAGTTTATGTGCTTGGGGGATTGGAATCGTGTTATGAATGGTGGCCCATGGATATTTAGGAACTCAGCTGTTGTTCTGGAGGAGTATGATGGACTGACGAACGTAGAAGAATACAAATTGGATCGTATCCCGGTATGGGCGAGGATTATGGGCCTCCCAGAGGGCCTGATGAAAAAAACTGAGATCGCGGAGAAAATTGCAAAGAAGGTTGGTGTCCCCCCCATCAAGGTCGTTGTGAATGAAGGGCGCATTAACCCAACGAAATATTTGCGAGCTCGAGTGTTTGTTAAACTAGAAACATCCTTGGTCCGTTTTGTTCCTCTTGCTCTGAAGGAGCTTAAGAGATATCCGGTGGAGTATGAAAAACTCCCTGATTTCTGTGATTTTTGCGGGCTGATTGGTCACGTAGTAACTGAATGCGGTGATGGCATCCACAGGCCTGAAGAATGTGAATGGGGAGAATGGTTACTTGTTAACTTTGATGCCCCCAATGGCCGAGGCAGGGGGTCACGCAGAGAGGAAAGGACTGCAGGAGATGGGAGGGGCTTTGACAGAAGGGATAGAAACCCACGAGAGCAGAATCTAAATGAGGACAGAGATATGGAGATGGACTCAAATCAAGGGGCTGTTATACCCAGTGCTCGGAAGAGGTTAATAGGACAGGATGGCAAAGTTAATAGTCCAAATGGTGGCACATCTTGGCTTCCTGGTGCCCCCCCACCATCGGGTTTTGTCAATGACAAGGTGCAATTGCTGGAAGGCAATGGAAGTGAGACTATTGATAAGAGCACGATGAGCACCCCATAGAAGATTCACGATCCTAAGCGAAGGAGAGCAGATCATCAGGAAGAGACAGCTACAACCAGTATATCGGCGACACCCCTAGAGGGTGTTCGCCGGGACCAATGAAAATAATCAGTTGGAACTGTCGGGGCATCTTGCGGGCCCCGACAGTTCGCTCGCTTCTGGATATACAGAGGCGACATGAACCCGATGCGTTTTTCTTGTCCGAGACGCATTTGGATGATGCTAGGGCAGAGGTTCTGATGAAAAGGTTGCGGATGGACCATAGAATTACGGTCCCTAGTGTAGATGGAAGAAAGGGTGGCTTGCTTTTAGTCTGGAAGAAGGAGGTAAGGATCTACTCCCGGGCTGCCACCCTAGATTTCATTGATGTTTCTGTTGAAGAGGATAATGGGGATGAGTGGAGGTTAACTGGGATTTATGGCGAACCAAGCTGGGATAACAAGACTCGCACGTACCAATTACTTCGAGATCTACACGCCCAATCCAGGTTACCATGGGTTGTGATCGGCGATTTTAATGAGATCCTTCTCTCCTCAGAGAAGGACGGAGGTGCTCCTCGACAACAATCTCATCTTAAAGCCTTTCAGGACGCCTTGTCTGATTGCGCGCTAGAAGACTTGGGGTATGTGAAGGAAATATGCCCTAGAGGCAATAATAAAGTTATTATTTATTTCCTTATATCATGATAAATGTTTATTATTCATGTTAGAATTGTATTAACCGGAAACATAATACATGTGTGAATACATAGACAAACAGAGTGTCACTAGTATGCCTCTACTTGACTAGCTCGTTAATCAAAGATGGTTATGTTTCCTAACCATGAACAAGGAGTTGTTATTTGATTAACGAGATCACATCATTAGGTGAATGATCTGATTGACATGACCCATTCCATTAGCTTAACACCCGATCATTTAGTATGTTGCTATTGCTTTCTTCAGGACTTATACATGTTCCTATGACTATGAGATTATGCAACTCCCGTTTGCCGGAGGAACACTTTGTGTGCTACCAAACGTCACAACGTAAATGGGTGATTATAAAGGTGCTCTACAGGTGTCTCCAAAGGTACATGTTGGGTTGGCGTATTTCGAGATTAGGATTTGTCACTCTGATTGTCGGAGAGGTATCTCTGGGCCCTCTCGGTAATGCACATCACATAAGCCTTGCAAGCATTGCAACTAATGAGTTAGTTGCGAGATGATGTATTACGAAACGAGTAAAGAGACTTGCCAGTAACGAGATCGAACTAGGTATTGAGATACCGACGATCGAATCTCGGGTAAGTAACATACCGATGACAAAGGGAACAACGTATGTTGTTTTGCGGTCTGACCGATAAAGATCTTCGTAGAATATGTAGGAGCCAATATGAGCATCCAGGTTCCGCTATTGGTTATTGACCGGAGACGTGTCTCGGTCATGTCTACATTGTTCTCGAACCCGTAGGGTCCGCACGCTTAAGGTTTCGATGACAGTTATATTATGAGTTTATGAGTTTTGATGTACCGAAGTTAGTTCGGAGTCCCGGATATGATCACAGACATGACGAGGAGTCTCGAAATGGTCGAGACATAAAGATTGATATATTGGATGGCTATATTCGGACACCGGAAGTGTTTCGGGTGATTTCGGAGAAAACGGAGAGCCGGAGGGTTACCGGAACCTCCCCGGGAGAAGTAATGGGCCATATGTGCCTTAGTGGAGAGAGAGAGGGGCAGCCAGAGGTGGGCTGCGCGCCTCCTCCCCCTGGTCCGAATTGGACTAGGAGAGGGGGGCGGCGCCCCCCCTTTCCCTCTCCCTCCCCACTTCTTTCCCCCTCCTAGTAGGAGTCCTACTCCTACTAGGAGGAGGACTCCTCCTGGCGCGCCTATAGGGGCCGGCCGGCCTCCTACCCTTGCTACTTTATATACAGGGGCAGGGGGGCACCCCTAGACACATAAGTTGATCCGTGTGATCATATTCTTAGCCGTGTGCGGTGCCCCCCTCCACCATAGTCCTCGATAATATTGTAGCGGTGCTTAGGAGAAGCCCTACGACGGTAGTGCATCAAGAACGTCACCACGCCGTCGTGCTGACGGAACTCTTCCCCGACACTTTGCTGGATCGGAGTCCGGGGATCGTCATCGAGCTGAATGTGTGCTAGAACTCGGAGGTGCCGTAGTTTCGGTGCTTGATCGGTCGGGCCGTGGAGACGTACGACTACATCAACCAAACGCTTCCGTTGTCGATCTACAAGGGTACGTAGATCACACTCTCCCCTCTTGTTGCTATGCATCACCATGATCTTGCGTGTGCGTAGGAAATTTTTTGAAATTACTACGTTCCCCAACAGTGGCATCCGAGCCTAGGTTTTATATGTTGATGTTATTTGCACGAGTAGAACACAAGTGAGTTGTGGGCGATATAAGTCATACTGCTTACCAGCATGTCATACTTTGGTTCGGCGGTATTGTTGGACGAAGCGGCCCGGACCGGCATTACGCGTACGCTTACGCGAGACTGGTTCTCCCGACGTGCTTTGCACATAGGTGGCTTGCGGGTGAC